CCGCTTCGTTGACTATGTCGGGTAGCCTATTTTACATGCGTCTGTCGGCAGAGGCATGTAATCTAGATGTACCCCAATTGTCCCATCCCATAACCCCTCCCCATGTACCTCACAGAACCTCCCCCCGCTCCCACCCAACCCCCTTCCCAGGTACCCCACAAAATCCTCTCTGTTCCCACCTCTTAATCCTCCCCAGGTACCCCACAAAACCCCACTTGGCCCCACTCATACCCCCTCCCCACGTATCCCACAGTACCCCCCTCTGGTCCCAGCCCATAATTCCTCCCCCTAGTGGACCCCACTGAATCTCTCCCCACACAAATTTTCCACCTTCTAAATCATCCCTCATTGGTCCCACCCTCCCCCTATTTTCCCCCACTGTACACTGTTTCCCCTTCCTCTGGCAGTCCCTCCCTGCCATACTCCTTGTGTGAAGGGTTCTGAGCCCCAGCTCAGTTCTGAGGATCCAGTGACTGAGGGTAGAGCCAGGCCCATGGCAGGAGCAGCCAGCCTGCTCTGCAGACTCGGGGTGTGGGGGGGGGTCCTCTCAGGCAGAGCAGGCCCTGTTCATGCTGCAAAGGAGATGGTTCTTGGGCCTTTGGGAGCCACCGGTGGCTGCAATATTGATTGTTACCCTAGTGTAAAATACAGACCCCGTTATGAAATGCCTCTTGGAGCCCCAGCCCTGGCAATGAAGAAGTCCTGCAGGCACAAATGATCCCCACCCAGCAGCCAAAAAGCCAGCTTGTAGGCAAATAATGAATGAAATAAATCAGGCCACAAATCCGAGCTCCCCTCCTGCCCATGGGAGTATACCCGCCGCCTTCCTCCACTACTGCAGCCTGCCAGTAGCCATTGGCTTTGGCCTTGGGTAGATCACGTACGTTTCATACAGGCGTGTTCTTTGACAAAGAGGAATGCTGGGGTGAGGTGGGTTAGGGTACAGCAGCCAAGAGCGCTCCGGCCTTTTGGTTACTGCAGACCAGCAACATTGTGTTGACTGTTGCCCACACACAGGGTTGCTAGATTCTGCTGGTTTCCATCCAGGTTGTATTTTTCCTACCAGTGTTACTAAGTGACAGGCATGGAAAGCCAGGGCCAGTGAAGGGAGGTGCGTGCTGACTGCACACAGCATTGACTGAGAGCCGGGCGCCTCCTCCACAGCCAAATCAAAGTGCTGCTACAATTCAATTGGCACATCCTGCGAACTGTAGGTAAGCTAGGGCAGTTAGCAAAAATACCCTATTCCAGCAGACCATCTTGGTTACGACAGTCTGGGGCGCACTGAGATGGAGGCCTGTCACTCACCTCAGTTGCCATCACGGCTGCAGATCAGTGGTTTCTAATTCCAACCTGCACTGCGCGGATCCCTGTAGGGGGGTCTGTGCAGAGTCTAACCTGTGTTGCTTCCCCTGCAGGCGGAGGGACGCCGCTCGGGAAGCAGCGTGGGCCGAGGGACGTACAGGCTGTCGGCAGGGCTATATGGTTTGGGGAGGTCCGTAACATTTTAATAGATTGAAGAGGGGTCTGTATCCTCAAAAAGGTTGGGAGCCACGGCTGTAGACCAGTGTTCCTCAACCTTTTTTTATAAAGTACCCCTTTTAAAAAAATTATACATACCCCCAGTACCTACAGTTTTCAGACACACAATTTTTTTCTACCATTGCAACACATTGTTTAAACAACTTCATCATAGCCAGGGGAGTGATGACATTTTTGGGTGTAAAAAGTACAACAATAATAAAGCGCTGTGAAACAAACAAAATTCAGTTTTCTCCAAATTTCAGTTGTGGTGACGTACCCCCCAGATTTCTCTCGAGTACCCCTAAGCGTATGTGTACCCCTGGTTGAGAAACACTGCTGTCGACGGATATGGGTGGGAGATGGTCACAGAGGGTATGTCTACACTACCCTCCTAGTTCGAACTAGCGGGGTAATGTAGGCATACCGCACTTGCAAATGAAGCCCGGGATTTGAATTTCCCGGGCTTCATTTGCATAAGTGGGGAGCCGCCA